CTTTCTTTCTTTCTGTTTTTTGAAACAGGGTTTCTCTGTGTAATAGCCCTGACTATACTAGACTCACTTTGTAGACCAGCAGAGACCCACGTGCTTCTGCCTCCCAAATCCTGGGATCAAAGGCATGTGCCACCACGCCCCGTTCAACTATTTCTTAATCTTTGTTTGCTACTTGTGAAAATACTGTTATTTGCTTGATATTTTGATGTTTTCAAGATCAATAAAAATCTTTTGTACTGTTTTGAAGTAGATGACTTTGAGCCAATAATTTAAAATTTAAAAATTCAAAATATCACTAGGAGAAAATATAGGAGAATTTGTCATATAATCTTGGATCAAAGAAACTCTATTTGGTGCAAGACTCAGCCTCAGATCTTCATAAACTGTAGGGAAATATTTCAATCTCTGTTGTTTTCAACAAAATCTCAATTGTTCAATTTTACCGATAGAGACTTAGGAGCCAGATGCTGGGGTGAAAGCCTGCTAGCTCAGAGAGAAAGAGAAAGCACCCAGCTGACCTTCCTCCTCAGCTAATGTCCCCTCCTCCCCGAAAAAAAGAACGATCCTTCCTCACGAAATCTAAACAAACAAACAAACAAACAAACAAACAAAAAACACCTCAAACTGAATGTCCCTCTCTTCTACTTCCTGTGGGTCTATCTGTCCTCTTGACTTCCTCTTATTCTCTACGTGTTCTTTTTTTTAAATGTTCACTCCCTGTCAGCTGGTTGCTTGTAGTATCAAAGTAGACAGTGATAGAAGAAAGGTCCCAGTGTTGACCTCTAATCTCCATAAGTACCATCTTGACTTATGGTTGATTTTATTTAATTCAAGCTGAAAGATCTTGGATTAAAGCTCTTGGACAGTGGCTAAGGTTGAGCCACACAAGTAGAAAGAGGTTTTTCCAGTAAACAACACAATCTTTCTCTGTCGATTTTCTATACATATCTTAAACTAATAATGTGAAATATACCCAGTAACAAAGGAAAACACTTGTAATAAGTAAGATTGGGAGATTTTTATACGCAGTTGGAATTTTTTTATATATTGTAAAGAAAGAAAAAATTTGGGACAGTTAAAAAAAAAACACTATAAAAAGAGTATCGACACTGCAGCAGGCCCAATTTCACTGGTAAGTAAGAACTTTAAATGAAACGAGGACATGGCTTCTACTTATCTCCTTGACAATGTTCAGTTCTAAAGAGGTTATGGGACATTGCCCCTCACATATGTCATAGGTCATGTATAAACTGGCACAGTGCTCTTAGATGGGCTTGTTTTGTGGTACCTTAGGGTACTGTTTGCTGATGTCAATCAAAACTGTGCAGTTAATATATGCTTTGATCAAGCAGGTTTAGCTTTGTAAACTTGTACCATGAGTGCACTGAAAATGTATTTAAAGATTTATACATAATGATTGTTCGCCAGAGCAAAAGCTGAAAATAATCCCAATAGACGTGATGCAGGGTAGATTGGGAGTATGTAATGTCTTCTCCCAGTGGCACATTCCACAGAAAGAAATGGAGAACTATACATGCAGACATAGAAAGACCAGGGCTCTGAGATGCCTCAGTGGAGACAGCATTTGGTGCATAAATAGAAGGACCAGAGTTTGATCCTCAGAACCTATCTAAAAGCCAGGCATGACCCCATAAGTTTGTAATCCCAGCACTAAGGAATGGAGACAGGTAAATGCTAGAGGTGCATTGGCTAGCCAGGTCTAGGCAAAATGGCAGGCTCCAGGTTTAGTAACAGATGTTGAAATAAATAAATAAATAAATAAATAAATAAATAAATAAATAAATAAATAAATAAATAAATAGATGTATGGGGCCGGCAAGATGGCTCAGCCTCATCAGGCAAAAGTTTTTGCTGCACAAACCTGTCACCCAAGTTCAACCATGGGAACTCACAATAGAAGGAGAGAACCAACTCCCGAGGGCTGACCTTTGACCTTCACATACATGCCATGGCACATGCACAGTCACACTCCAGCACACACATATACACACATCCACATACAATAATAGCATTTTTATTTAATTAAGGTAGACAGCGATGGGAGAAAGGTCCCCAATGCTGACCTCTGACCTCCATAAGTACTAGAAAATGTCCATTCACACACGTAGACACATGTAAGAGAAACATTACCAAGCAATATTGCCAGTTATGGAGGCCACAGAGGAACATAACTTTTACATGTCCATTTGTACAAAAACATGGTGAGTTTATAGGGCTAATATTAGTCAAAGGCATGCAAGAAAATGCTGGTGGATGGCACTAGGAGCCTGTCCTGGGAAAGACATTGATTTTGTTTATTTGCTTCCATTTTAAATTATATCATTATTTGATTTTTAAATCAAGAACCAAGTTACTTTTCTAAGCACTGAAATTAGAACCGTTAGTGGAGCCTTGTGGGAGCAATGCAGGAGTCCCCGAACAGACGGAGATATGAAC